GGCGCGGGGGCGGCGCGGGGGCGGTGCTGTGGCGGCTCGGGGGCGGGTCGCAGCGTCATCGCAGCCATCACAATATTTCAGGCGGCGGTAGTTCAATGGCCACCCATCGAAAGACTGCGTTTTCAGACGATTTTTCGCCTGCGGCCCGTGTTTGTCAGAGTGCGAGAGCGAAAGGCATCGAGTTTGTCATGGAAAACTGTGAAGGGAATAAGAAAACATATTTATCTCATTGGCAGTCTGCGAGGTCTTTGTCAACATTTTATGCTCATCGCTTATGATTTGTTTTAGTGTTGAAGTTAGATTTTTCTGCCCCTACCCCCCTATCATTTCCTAAGCGGACTGAGGTGGTTTGGACGCCGAGTGGTTCCTCGAGCCCCGCGCCACGGCACGGCAGAGTGGCGTGGTCATGCTCCCGCTCGGCCCAGCCGGCTCAGGGCCCGCGGGGAGACTGCCGCCACTGGCGGGCCTGGTCCTCGCCTGCCGTAGCTTGGCGTAGCCTCGCGGGGCTCAACGCTACGATATGCCGGGCGGGGCGGGGCAGGGCGTCGGTCGGGCCGCGCAGAGCACAGCGTAGCAGAGCGTCATTCCCCCACCCTCCGCGCCGGGCCGGGCGCGCAGGGATCCGCGCCGAGCTCGCTGTGATCCTCCGCCTGAAAGTAGATCCCAAGCCGGCTCGCAATTCTTTTGACAGTACTGCTTGTCGGAGCGGCTGCCGCATGCAGGACAACGCGGTCTCGTCGAAATTGTTCATATGTGCAGAAAACGCGATCATCCAGAGCTCTATCTGCCATTTTTCAGTCATTTGCCGGAAACGTTGACCTACATCACTTGGGTTGGCGCCCGATTCAAGGCTCGACGTTGGGCCCCGCGCTGCGACCCGGCACGGACTGGTGGCGCTCTCCCGCGACAGGACACGGAACTACGGAACAGGTCGGACGGCAGTGCCAGGCTGTGCGGGCGCGGGGAGGGGGAGGGTGCGGGGACTGGTGCGGGGCAAAGGCACGCTTAGCGTAGGGGTGCCGGCCGGCAGGCCGCCGGCCCGGCCCGCCACTGCGCTACCGGCGCCCGCCCCGCTCGGTCGTACGCGTACGCATCGTCGAGTCAGCTCGTTGGCTTGCGGTGAACTCGCGGCGATCCGGTCGGTCGATGGTGACTAGTGCGACTCGCGAGTGGTGGAGCAAGTAGTGAAATGCCTGTGCATCCTGAGTCGGTCCCTGGTGTTTTGTGTCCGACGTCCCTGTTGTTTTCATCTGTGACTCCAACCTCTGTTGTTATAAACATTGCGCGCGCTTCGCACTTGGCTGCTGTCAGTGACATAACTGCGAGTTCCCCAGCGGCTCGCCCTGATTTTGGATTTTCACTTGTGCCCAAGTGTTTGTGTGATATTGTGGACTTCGATATTCCTGGAAGTGTTTCTCGAAGAGACAATTTACTGGATTAACTCCCTGGATTATCACCATTAGTGATCTACGCCCTTGGATTATTTCATCAAATTTAATGAGTATCGGTGAGTTGTACTTTGATGTGCCCTGTCAAAATGTACCCATGTAGGAAAGCTGTAGAAATAGTCTGTCAGTGGGGCCGGTTCCTTGAATTAAATACGACTTTACTTGAATTTGCTCCAGTCCTCTTTTTGCGCCCATAGACTGGCCATGGGGTCCCTCACGTTAACTTTAACGCTTGGCACTCGTTGTGCAATCGTTGGTTCTTTGGCGCCTTCCAGCGAAACTGTTCCTGCCCGGCTTCTTCTCGGAAGTCTGGCGGTGTTTGTCAGCGTTTGACTGTTGTGGCGACGGGCTTCGTCTAGCAGCCGTGCTACAGCGCCGGCCCGGCTTCGGCTTGCCTCCTCCTCTCCCCCGCCCGGGCCGTGCCGCTGGGGCTGAGCTGGGGCCTGCGTGCCTTCGCTGCCGCGCCGGCCGGCGCGGCGGCCATGCTCGGCTGGCAGCCTTCGATTGTTGAGCTACGCCCAAGCTGTCAAACCGCCCAGGACGCGGGGCCGTTACGCCCTTAGATTAGTTTATGTGTAGACCTCTCTGATACATTTTGCTCGTAGTGCTAGGGGCGGGACGCGACAGGGACGTGCCGCATTTCTATTGCCGCTCAAATGAAAATTTCTTTTAATGGGTTTCTGTAGGGCGTACAGCCTGGTCACAAAGTGGTAATTGACAGGTGGGCGGGAAAGTTTAGATCCTATTCATTTTGTTGATGAATCGAGACGGATATCTTGATTGAAGCCATTACATACATCCTGTATTCATACATTTAACTTGCAATTTAATTTTTCCTAAATATTTATTATTATTGTGCTTTCAAAACATTGTTAGCCTTACTTAAACTTTAGTTTTGATTTCTCTCATTATGATGAATCAGCCTGTAACTTTTTCTACAACTTGATTTATTTTGTCCAGTCAATACGCTGTCCTCATTTCCCATATTATACCAGAAAAGTAATCGACTAACAAGCTGGTTTATTATTACGACATTTTGTTTAATTGTATGGGATGTGATGTATATCTTTCACTGGCTCTCTTTCGTGGATCCCAGAACTTGCCAATTTTTGGTTGACTCCTTTCCTGTGTAGTAACGCGCGCGGTATGTGTTGCAGAGACCACCATGCCACCCCAGTTCGAGCACCCTTGGGGCAACCCCACGGGCCAAATTTGCATGCCCGAGGAGTCCTCGCTCGATCTGTTCAACAACATTTTCGACGAGCTCAACATGAGCTTCGACATGAAGCTGGACGACACCCCTCTCTTCGAGGGGTTCCTGCCGGAACTGGACAGCAACCTGGACCTCCTTGGCGAGGGCCCTGGGCTGCTCCAGGTCCGCCACGACTGCATGTGGGCCGGGTCCTGCGTCGACGACAAGGAGCGCCCCAACCCCCTCGAGAGGGTCCAGGAGAGCCCGGTGAAGAGCGGGCCTGCCCTGCAGACCTGCTCCCCTGCCACCCTGCAGACCCCCACCAAGGACGCCGAAGTAGTGCATTCACATACCCCCACCAGTGTGCAACTCTCAAGTAGACAATCCGCTGTCAAATCCAACACGCGTAGCATACTTAGGACTAACCATCGGGCGAGTGCGGCCACCGTGGTAGGTAGTGAACGGACAGCTGCGTCTCAGGACGAAAGTGACGACTCCGGTCGGCCCGACACTCCCCAGAGTATGTCTAGTGATAACGAGGAGTCGGCTGACTTCAAACCCGACGTCGACGCCCTCGCCCAGTCACTCTGCAAAGAGGAAATCCTCGACGACGAGGAGGTGGATGAGGACGACGAGGAGACCGATGTAGAGGAGGAGGAGGAGGAAGATGATGAAGACGATGATGAAGATGACGATGATGACCTGACCGCCGACAATGACACTTCCCTGGTGGACGAAGACGCACCCACCGCGTGCGTGTCGGTATCGAAAGTTACCGGGCAGACTGTGCGGACGTCCCTGTACCAGCAACACCATGAGCGCACCTCCCGGTTCGACTCCCGGCCGCAGCAGACCGTGTCCAACCACTTCTTCAACGACCATAGCTACCACCTGAGCAAGACGGACCACCCCTCCATACCCGGCAACCTCACACCTTCAGATTCTGGTGAGTTGAAAAATCTTAAATTGCCATTGCTGTGTTATGTTTTTGACGCGCACACTGTCGGAAACAGCTTGCCTCGATGTTGCCAAGTCCGTTAAAAATTAAATGCAGTTCAGACAAGCACTAGAGTTGTTTCCGACGGCGGTATGCCCCTGGCTGCTATGGACCTGCTCCACATCCCCGTGCGGGACGTGGATTTGTCTTATGCACCGGCTGATGGCATTTTGGCGCGAGCGTTCACCCTGGTCTGCGTCCTATCATACTGTACCGTGTAGAAGTGTACTTTGGCGCCGCCGTACTTCATACAGCCGAGCGCATCGCGTGTTAATACTGGTTGATAAAGTTAGAGTGAGACTGATTGAAATCGCCGCGCCCGTCTGCCGTTTCAATGGCGCTGCTGCAGGGCGGGGGAGGGCCTCCTTATGTAAGGCAGGTGGCGGCGGCCCACGCCCCGCCACGCCTACCTGTGCGGGGCGGAGCAGGGCGAAGGGAGGTTGGCGCCACTGGGCGGCTCGGCCCGAGCTCGGCCCGCCCGGGGATTATATGGTGGAATCTCCGAGCGGAGCCGAACGGCGCGATGGGACGTCCCTCCGGGCGGACGGGCGGGTCCCGAGGCCAGCCCGAGGGTGAAGGACCATCCTCTTCCAGGAACACGCTGCGTGCCATCTCGAGGCGCGCTGGGCAGCTGGGCACTGGACCAGGGGGACCGTCCCTATGCGGCCTCGGAAAGGAAAAGTGATAATGAGGAACACGTTGAGGTCCCCGCTCCGGCCGGGCTCGCGGCTCGCGGCCTCCCGCGCCGCCCGTGGCGGACTCGCGGCCGCTCTCGGCGCCGGAGAGGCCCTGGGAAAGGGGGAAGAGGAGAGGGGAGCATCCTCGCGCGCCCAAGGTCATTATCTTTTGTCGTTCGCTCAGGAGCAAGGCACCAGCAAGGACGTGGCTCGGGACGGACCAAAGCCCCGAGGCGGCGGCAGCGGCACTGCCTGCCACGCTCGATTGTTTTCTGACACTCGCCGCGAGGGGTTAAGTGGTTTTAACGGCGGCGATCGGATGTGTTGCCATGATTGGCTGCCGAGCGGGGTGGGCGCTGCACTATGGGAGTCCACTGCTCCGGGCCGCCGCCGTGGCGTGGGCTCCGCCGAGGTGGGCGATGACGCCGGACGGGGCCCATTTGGGAGAGCCGCGGGACGAGCGCGGGGGGAGGGGGGGGGGGCTCGTCTCCTGCGAACTCACTTGACTCACCACCTCAGTGAGTGTACGTTCGTACGTGTTTGGCGGTAGAGGGGAAAGGGTGAGGGGGGGGGGGCAGAGCGCGGGTGGGAGAGTCGTAAAGCTCCTGGCGGCAAAGAATACCAAATCCTTGCCTTCCTTCCCGGCCCATGCCGCGGCCGAGTTGTATAACTCTGTTGTTGCTCAGGGCGAAGGGAAGGCCTCCGCTCTGCCGCAGCTGCTGCTGCTGCTGATTCACTGTTTGCCCGGCGAAAGGGTTTGCGGTGCGCGACCGGAATGTGGTCCGGCCCGTCCGGCGCGCCCGGCCCCGTCACAGTGTCATTGCTCTTATGTCACGTGTGATGGTACATTCCCGGGTCGCACCGCCCGCTGTAGTGGTGTGTAAACTCTGTCGAATGGCGGGCGGGTTTGGGGAAGAGGGGGGGAGGGCTTTCGCGAGAGCTCTCCGCTGCCGCGTGATTCTCGCGGCCTGCTTGCCGTTCGCGCCCCGCGAGGTCCCGTCTGATACGAGAGCTAGTACTGTGCAGCCCGGGCAGACTACTGTACAGGCGGGCCTTGCACAACATTGCAACCCGCGCGGTGCAGCTGCCCGCCCCGCTCGCTAGGCGCCAGCGGCGCCAGTAGGGGAGGGGGGAGGGGCTCGGTCGTCGTGGAAACGGAACAGGAATGGGTGGTGTGGTGCTTCCCCGTCGTCGTATCCGCGCGGCAGGCTCGCAGACTCTACCGGCGGCGCGGTTTGGTTTTCGAATGCAGGCGACCGACGCGCTCTTGGCACGCGGGGAGACTATCCGTCTGGAATGCGACGCCCCTCCGCCCCGCCCCGCCCCGCCCCAGGTGTGCCGGGCCGAGCAGGCTGGGCGGCGCGGTCATTGGCCGCGGGGCGCGCGCAGTGCGCTGTGGGGCACTGCAAAAACTGAACCGGCGGAACTGCCCGAGTGAGAGAGAGAGACGGAGAGAAAATAGCTGTTCTATGGACATTTAAAACCAGTCCGGCACTGGCCGCCCCGCCCCGCCCGGCTACACTCGCCATCTGACTGCAACAATCCGCGGCGTCTCGCCCCTCCCACTACAGTACTCTTTCTGCCCCCTGCCCCCCCCCCTTACCTGCACCTGCCACTGCTGTCCTTTTTCTCCTGTTATTCCTTTCTTTATTTTCCCCCCATCGCCGCAGCCGGTGCTGCTGCTGCGTCCCTCACCTGCCCCCATCGGTTTTTCTTATTTTCCGATCGGCACCCCAATCCTGACTCGTTCTGGTGCGCTTGAGAGTGAGATGTGCGTCCGTGTGTCCGTCTGCCTGCCTGCCTGCCGTCTGTCTGTCTGTCGGCCGGGGCCCGGGCCGGGCGTGGTGTTCGCGCCGGGCTAGCGTATGAATGGACCGCCGGGCCTGGCTGGCTGGGGCGTACCTGCCACGCCAAGCCCGCGCCGATTCTCTCTAGCGGCAGGTGAACGTTTCCTCTTTTGTCGTTTTCTATTTAATGATCGTCTGGTGGATTTGCCGCTAGCAGGGTTTGCTCTCACATTCTCGTGAAGGCTTTGGGTCGCGCTGAGCCCGGCGCTAGTAATTGAAGCGCATGGTAGCCCCCCCCCCCCCCTCTCCATCGACAAGCCGACGATGCGGCCGGCTTGTGGAAGACGATGATGGCCTGAGGGGGGGACGGCTGATCGATTATATTTTCCTTACAGCCTCAAGTATGAAAAATTGCTGCGTCGGATGCCCGACGATTGGCGCGACAATTTTTCATATGTAGTGGCATGCGGTGGTTGAGTATGCTTGGGAGGGGGGGG